GCATTCTTACTACTAGGAACAAGAAGCTACTAGGGGCTCCTGGCATCGCTACTAGGAGCGATCGGACACTACTAGGCTCCCACGCCTGGACACGGCGCGCGCAGCGGCCACCTGAAGGTTTCTGCAGCCCCCGAACCGGTGGGACTCGTGTGAAACATCATTTGAACAGCAACAGTAACAGGTTCCTTTGTGAACCATCATCATCATCATCATCATCATCATCATCATCATGGTAATGGTCATGGTCATCGTGATTATCATCATCATAATCATGATATGAAACCCACAAACCCACAATGACTCACATTGCTTTTCCAACCTGGTGGACTCCTGTCTGTGGGACGAGGCTGGCCATCTTCAGCGTGGGGCTGAACTATTGCAGAGCCACTGCATGCACAGTCAAGGAGATGCGACGTAGGCTTTTGGTGTGTTGTCCACGATCAAGCGTCATGAGAACCAAACGACCTTGCAAACCTCCTACGTTTCAAGCGTTATGAATCCACAATTTTTGAGACCAGCATTGGGTCCTCACTGTTTTGGCTCGCTTTTTTACGGCTCGATTCTTCGGAAAGCTGATGATGGCCTCAGTTCACTCCAAGTCAAAAGAATAACATGTGTGACTTTAGACTTTGAAAATCTTTGAAACATTTTCTCGACTCTAACTCAAGATCGTAGAGCATCCATCGGTCCGAAGCAAAACAGCTAATTTTTCTCTGCTCAAACAAAAGCAGCATAAAACATCGATCTCCAAGTGGCCTGTGTAGCTGCACCGGCCCCTGCATTCGCCAATCAAATCATGATTTACAACCGAAAGCTTACATGCACCGATTCCGAATGTGGCCTGTACTGGATATCCTCGTATCGGACTTCGGAGTACCTCGATGTGACGCAGAATGTGCCCTCGATTCTTTCAACCTGTTCTGATGTCAAAAATATATCAAAATGAGAAGTGAGGCTTTACAAGCACGAATCAAGCACAAGTAGAATCAAATAGATACCAGTCGGAATTGAACAAGCACTGCGAAGCCACTCTTGAGTTTCCGGCTGATGGTGTGTACCTGAGCCAAGCAAACCCGAGCACAAGAAGAGCATAATGGGGAGCTGAGAGCCCAGCGAGACCGCCACCTGCAAAGGACGCGGTGAAAATCGTGTCATGTGAAAGCCATTCCAGCAAAGTATTCTTTTTCAACTGACTCTTCAGACATTATATGAATTAGACTTAATACATGGACCATTATACACCTAGCATCACCTAGCAAGGGCCAGTAGAAAGGAATGTTCATGTCGCCAAAACAAAAACACCCTCAAACGCATTCATCAATTTGCTTTGAACTTGCACTCCCCAATGCAGCCTGTGGCACTGATGGAGCACCTACCTGAGCAAATTAGAAAGTTATGTCGTGAATATTCGATTCACCGTTCCTTTGGTGCATGCTTCATGTGCGTTCCCCTTTTCAAGTCTTTTCATCCTTTTTTTCAAAGTGCTTTACCAACTTTACCCTTAGAGTTTCATATATATATTTCATCCAATTCGCACCTCAAGGCGTCTTGGGTACCTCGGCACAAGCTTTAAGACTACCTCCATCTCATCTGCCGTGACTTCAACTGTTGGACTCTGTTCGACTTCGTTCGACGTCTGCGTCTCTGCGTCTTCTTTTCAGCCCCAAACGTCCAGGAGCTCCGGTTCGAGCGTGGTGGAAGATACACCGATCCACCCTCAAGCGAGCTGGAGTGAGCCCGGGATGACACTGAGCCCAGTGTCTTGGATCTTAGATCTTCACTAGTAACAGGTGCCACGCTAGTAGTCTACTAGTAACAAAAAAGCTATTAGAATTAAAATAAGTTGGACACTTGCTGCGAAGCCGCGCAGCCACAAAACGACAGAACACCACCAGAAAAAGGATGAGAAACATCCGAAACACCAGAAGCTTGAATGGAAGGTCCATCCCTCACTTTGCTTTCGCATGCTTTCGCAACTGCAGCTCAACACGCAAAGTTCCTCATAGCGATGGCCTCCAACCTACTTGCGATGGCCTGCAACCTACTAGCGATTGCCTCCAGCCTAATAGCGATTGCCTCCAGCCTAAGAGCAATGGCCTCCAACCTATTAGCGATGGCCTCCAACCTACTTGCGATGGCCTGCAACCTACTAGCGATTGCCTCCAGCCTAATAGCGATTGCCTCCAACCTAAGAGCAATGGCCTCCAACCTACTAGCGATGGCCTCCTCCAACCTACTTGCGATGGCCTCCAACCTAATAATTAGCGATGGCCTCCAACCTACTAGCGATGGCCTGCGAACTCAGCGATGGCAACTAGTTCCAGTGCCCAACAATTGCTGTCGCTCTAGATTTCATTGAATTCAGACTCAATGCGAAGCCGACACGCCGCCCTACCAGCGCGCAGGCGGCGCGGGCGCCTGCAACAAACCGTGATGGGTATCAGCTCGAACCTGAGATACTGAGGTGACACTGTCGTTGCAATGAATTTTTGTTGTTCAGCCTTTTGTGGGATCAACTGCACAACGAGATGATACCCTCTTACACAGATGTCTAAAATCAAATTCGATACCAAAGGAATCCAAAGGATGCTTCGTCATCGATGAGCCCATCAATCCGCGCATTTTGTGTCTTGAGCTCTCTGCAAGGCTGGGGGTCGTCAAAGGCATCGCCGAAGACATGGTCGAAGGCACCGACGGCCGAGGCCTTGGGTGTCATTCGGTGCGCCTTTCGATACTAGTAGCGATGGCCTCCACCGAGTAGCTTCTTTGTTACTACGAGGAAAACAAATTCGAAGCACATTTGCTTTCCTCGGAGGCCAACTGTGACTTGGCCAGCTCCTCCTGCGCCATGCAGGCCCAGCCGCGGATCCGTCGATTTAGACTTTCCAAAGAAGAGAGTTCACAGAGTCTTTGCCATCACAGATCGTGTTTTTGCGCAAAGTCTAGCCTTTCGCCACAGCTCAACCAGCAGCTCTGCCTGAAATGTTGGAGATGATTTCAAAGCCGGATGATGTCTGAAAGTCGGGCTGAAAAGTTCTCAATTAGGGCGGTTTTTGGAAATTGAAAACCCGACTTTCGGGTGAAAAGTTCTACAGGTTGAACGTCGGGCTGAAAGTAGCCGTGAAATTTGATGTATTTCGTGACTTCACACAAGCGTCTGCCAAAACGTACTGTCAAGGGAAGCGCATAGCAAAACACATTTGATTCAGCAAGGTTATCGGGTTATCGCTTTTGAGGGGGGCCTATCGCTTTTGCAGATCTTAGCCCAAATTCTGAGATGGTCAGTGACCGCTCTTTCCTAATTTGGTCATTGATGTGTCCTTTTTGGTTCACAAAGACGGGCGCTGCTTCGCCTGCTGTTCCAGCTGTGCGATCTCCCGTTGAGCCACCTGCCGCAGCTCCAAGAGCTGGGTGTCATACCTGGCAAGAGTCAGATCATCTGATGAAGTGATAAAAACTAATTGGCAAAGGAATGCTTTGAGGGTTCTTGTCATCTCGTCGTTTTGTGTCTTTCAATTTCCTCCAAACCCATCCCTCTCCACATCTGGTATTTATCTGCTTAACTCTCAAGCTAGATGAAATCAATCAACACAACTCTTGGCAGCTCGCTCTTTCCGCATTGTTGTCTCTTGCTCTTTCACCTGTGGGTTCAAGGACTCGCTGAGTGCACAGCAAGTTTTACAGACTTAGCCAGCCACCATCCGTGCCAAAGCCAGCTGGTACCTTGTGTCAAAGACATATAAGATCTCGACACAGTGCCCACGTTCAATGCAGTATTTGTCATGATATAAATGAAAGCATTTGCAACACTGGACGATCCTATTCATCTATTTCCGCACCATTGCGACTTCCTTCCTTTTCATGGAAACTCCACGAAAAAAAGGACCCGTTGCGTTTGGTGGGCCACTCGGCAAGTCCAATTGTTCAGGCCTGTTTTTATGCTGAGTCTACGGCTGGGATCGTTGGTGATTGGCATTCGCGTGGAGATTGTCCTGGCACTGCAGAGAGCCCCACTTCGACAGGTTCCATCAACATTGCATACACACAAACAAAGCAAAGTGCATAAAAGAACAAAGACATGATCACCAGGTGACCAGTCCCAGAAATGCTGTGAATATAACGTACCCACTCATGTACCCTGCTATACCCTTCTCAGGAAAAAAAAAGGTCTTCAGCCTACGGCCCAGCCATGAGGCGACGGGGCGAAAGAGTTGAGTCGAAGTGATTCCTCTTGCACTGTGGAGAGAGAATCCAGAAGCGCATGACAAGACATTATAAAACTACATTAAATCTTAGGTTGAAGGCCATGGCAAGTAGGTTGGAGGCCATCGCTATTGGGTTGGAGGCCATTCCTATTAGCATTATTAGGTAGGAAGCCATCGCTATTCAGTGACACGCAACTGCTTGACTTATCTTGGCTTCCATTTCACGCGGCACTCTGCAAAACATCTGCAAACTGTGCCTGACTCAGCTTGCTTCTCAGTTTGCTTCTTTTGGAAGCAACTTTTACAAAATCTATTAGGTCTCAGGTCGTTCTCGCTCTTGTACCAGGATGTCTGGGCGCAAAGCATCTTCGTGACCTACTACTCCACCTCGCTTTTCAACCAAGGCGACGCAAGGGATCCGGTAATGACTAGTGACAAAACATTCAAATCAGTGGCTTGAGCTCCGACCCAAACATGGAAAATACAGTGAAGAAGGCCTGTTTGAAAGGAACTTGACCTTTCTATACCATAGTATACCTTCAATTGAACATGTGTTCCAAGCGTTCCTGAAATCAAAGGACATGCGTTCCCGTGCTTCACTCGGTGACTGGTGGTCCCCGACTCCCCAGCCGCCACTCCCGCGGTGCTCCGTCAGGGTGCGGTGCTCTTTGGCGAGCTCATCTACCGCATCTCGCAGCTCTCGTTCCAGGCGTCTGGCATGCACCTCCTAGAACGCTACTAGGAGCGAAGGGCATCGCTACTAGGAGCAAGAACGCTACTAGGGGCTCCTGGCCGTACTACTAGGAGCCAGCAAGGAGCTACTAGTAACAAGAAGCTATACTAGGGGCTCCTGGCAGCGCTACTAAAGGAGCAAGGAAGCTACGAACGGGGCTCCTGGCATCGCTACTAGGGGCTCCTGGCCTTACTACTAGGAACGAGGAGCTACTAGGGGCTCCTGGCATCACTACTAGGAGCATTCTTTGCAACTGAGAGGCCGAACTTCAATGCTTACAGCAATAAGATGTGAGCCAAGTGTGAGTCTACGACCCAAATCGATTCTGCCAAATCTGACAATTTACTTCCAAATGGAGAGCACTGAGAGCACTGATGCTTTGTAGATATCGCTTTATTACATTACGACCACATGAAG